GGGTGGACTGTGTGGCACTAATTCTGTAGATGGGAACTTTATCAGTGGTCCTGACTGAAGCGCTAAATACCTTCCCTCGTTCTGTGAATGAAATTTGAGGCCCTGCTGAGGGCACGAGTGATGGAGAGTGTGGTCTCTGCCCTGGAGGTGCCTACAGCCCCGTCACAGAGACGGAGAGGTGGGCTGCTTGCTGATGGGGACACACATGATGGACAGGTTGAAGTGGGGAGCTCTGGAAGCACAGAGACGGCAGAGGGGAAGCGTGAGGCTGAATTCACACCTTCAAGGAGGCCGGGTCGGGGTGGGGGGTTGCTGACCAGAGAGAAGGGGGGAGGAAAATGGCCATCGTGGAGGGGGTGATGGCACACAGGCCCTGTGCACCAGGGGAATCAGGCACTTAGTCCGTCCACCCAACATGCCATTCCTTCAGCCACAATGGTACTGAGGGCCAGCTCTGTGCCAGGCTCTGTTGTAAACACCAGGGATAATGTGGCAGGCAAGACAGAAAAGGTACCAGCCTCGTGGAGTTTGCATTCTAGTGGGCAGCTAGATTATTTATTACAGGTAATCAGTGAAGTCAATAATACAATTCCACATAGTAGTAAGTGCTAGGAAAGAGTCTCAGCTCTGTGGAGGAGTGGGCCTCTCAGGCTGCGTGGAGGGGCAGAATCCAGTGCTAAGAATGCAAATGCAGGTGGCAAACATGCTTCAGATAAAAGTTTGGCCTCCTTTTATCTTCCATCAGGGATCAGCAGACCACTGACCCATGCATGGGCCAACTTGACCACAACCTTCTGTACCACCATGAGCTAGGAATAATTGTTTTATTTTAAACAGTTAAAAAAAAACAATCAAAAGATTTTCCAACACATGAAAACCCATGTGTGAACTACGTTTTTTAGGTTTAAATAAATTGAATAAAAAATGACTATTATAGATGACTTGGTATCTAAATAGTAGCTGTGCAAGTAAACATAAAAGAAAAAAGAAAATCATATGAAATTGGAAGGTAGTGTCCATGAATAAAGTTTTACTGGTATGCAGCCATGTTCATTCCTATACATATTGCCTGAGCTGGTTTTGCACTTCAAAGACTGAGTACGTAGTCTGGGACAAGGGTGGACCTTTGGAGACCCCTCAGTTACTGAATTTCAATCCCAGTAGATGGTCTCCTGAGAGGCCAGACCTGCCTCTTTTGTGAGCTTCACTCAGTATTTTCTAGTACATTGTTATATACCTGAAACAATGTAACATGGTATGTCAATTCTACTCAAATAAAAATAAAGTTGTTTTTTTTTTTTTTTTTTTACAAACGTCCTATGGGACAGAGATTCTCCCTAGTTGTCATGTGATCCACAGATTCTCCAAAATGATAATCTCAGCGTTTAAAAAGTTAAGTGCTAGTTTCAAATAAAAGTCTTCAATTTTAAAT